TCCTGGAGATTTGGGGCACAGCCTGGGGGCAGTGGATTTTGGGGAGGGGGAGGCTATGTGATTCCATTGAATCTACATTCCAAAGGTGCCATTTCCTCTAGTTGAACTGATTTCTGTAGTCTAGAAATAAGATGTAATTGCAGGAGAACTCCAGCCCCTATCTGTACCTAGGTAACATGGGAGCAGCCTCAATGAGGACAGACCATTCTGGCCATTTGCTAAAGTGTTTCACCTTCACCTCCTGAAAACGACCCCCCAGTCTGCTGGAACAGACCACCACACTGCACTGCTCCCGTGACAATAGGTGGCTTGGACTGGAGACCCAAGTACAGCTTGCAGCAAAACATTTGAAAAATGCTGTCCTATCCCACCCATTCCCTTTAATATTATTTAGCTTATGTGAAACATGCCTGCGTTCATTACCATGATGCTTTATTGGATAGCTGGAAGTGGCAAAGGGAAAGCACTGGAAGCCCAGGGTAGCTGCAACTCGAAACAGAGGTTTAACAGCATTCCAGTCCTTTGCATCAGCCAGATCAATCCATCAATATGGATGCTGGGTGCATTTCTCATCCACTCCACAAAAAGCAACAATCCCAGACAGACAAATAGCAGCATCCTGCCATTCTAATAATAGAAAGCTGTTGACATCATGATGAGGCATGACATCTGTCTGCAAATGTTGGCTCTGGGGCATGTGTGCATGTAAAGCAACCACGAGGTTTTATGCCTCAAAATAAAATGTGTGAAATCAATAGTAAACACCGTATGCAAACATACACTATATGCAATAATATTTATTATATATTTTATATATAATTTGTGTGCAATTAATATAATCACCATATAAGTATTAACAAAATCCATATATAGGCAATCAAATACATAATCAAAGTAGCAAAATTATATGAAGGGAACAGTCCAAATATTCGCCTACCTAGATAGCTAGCTCCTATATAGACATAATCCAAAAGTAATATTATATTACACTGTAGGACAAATAATCCAAGTCAGTGATCCTACGACTTCCCAGTTGATAAGTTGTTTCCAGCCCATGGGAAAAGTGAGTGTTTGGCTAAGAGAATGAAGATCGGTTCCAATTAATGATGTACACAATATATCGAGTGATTCTTGAGAAAGAAGGCTGGAAACAACTTGTCAACTGGGAAGTCGTAGGATCACTTGTCTTGGATTATTTGTCCTACAGTGTTGGGACTGCTGATTATGTCTATATAGGAGCTAGCTATCTAGGTAGGCGAATATTTGGACTGTTCCCTTCATATAATTTTGCTACTTTGATTATGTATTTGATTGCCTATATATGGATTTTGCTAATATTTATAAGGTGATCATATTAATTGCACACAAATTATATATTTTTTTAAATTAAATATTGCATATAGTGTATGTTTGCACATGGTGTTTACTACTGATTTTGTACTTATTCCATCATGGCCCCTGTTTTGTTGATATTCAATATAAAATGTGTCATCCTGCCTGGCAGATGTCAAGTAATCCGAGGGAAAGGCCTCCACTGAGCTTGGTTGCAACAGCTGCTCTGGGGTATGGATGCAGAACTGCATAGCCAATGCTGACTGCTATCCCTCTGAAACTCTAACACAACAGTTTTCCTTTCTTGGAAAACTCAGGATTGGAACACGAAGAAAGTTCTGTGGAGGGTCTTGGAGAGGTATCAGGCTGGTGAATCCACCCTCCAAAGCATCCATTTTCTCTAGGAGAACTGATCTCTGTAGTCTGGAGATCAGTTGTAATTCCAGGAGATCTTCAGGCCCTACCTGATGCAGAGCTCACGTAAAAGAATGATGTCACAGCAATAGATCCAAGCACTATGTCAGAGAACACAGTTAAATGAACTTATGCTGGTCAAAATATCCAATTCAGACAGATAATGTCAATTTTGGCTAAAGAATAGGGTTGCCAACAGACCTGGGGGGAAAGGTCCTGGTCTTTTAAATAAAGGACTAATGTGTGGGAAAGGGCAGCTGAAGCTTTTCATGGTATGGAGGTAAATAGCATCAGCTTGTAAAGAACATTCCATTAAGACTTTATTAAAGGGAAAGGGGGAGGGAAGGCAGTATGGTATAGCCCAATCTTGTCAGAACTTGTAAGCTAAAAAGGGTCAGTACTTGGATGGGAGACCACCAAGGAAGACTCTGCAGAGGAAGGTCATGGTAAACTACTTTTGGCTTTTCACTTGTTTTCAAGTTGGTTGCAATTTGACAGCACATACGTACACACATTTTGTCCAGGCAGTAAGTAACCCAACTACAGGATGGTATCACTGAAGGTGAAGAAGGCAAAGGGGAGTAAGAGCAATCTCATACCTAATGATATATAATACCAACAAAATCTGCCAAGTGGATCGCCCCGAACTAGAATCTTAAAATAGTGAGGGGGAAGGGGGTAAGAAAAAGCATGCCAAGATTTCATACAAATCTCAGCCGCCATTTCAGGTTTCCTAGGCAATCTAAAACCTAAGAGAAGACAAGGAAACAGAAGCTGTGGGGGGGGTGGTAATGTGGAGAAGGTGGCAGTGGAGAGGGATGAAATGGGGGCTACAAGGATGGGGGAGAACAGGAGCCAGAAAGGTGGGAAATTGGACCAGAACAGAGAGGTGGCAAGGAGGTGGGGCCGCAGGAGAACCATGTATGGAAGGGGAGAAGGGCCAATTGATGAGGCTACAAGATGTCCCCTCTCTGCAATTTCTCATGGAATCCCCGTCTAGTTTAATCAAATAGGCAAACATTTTCACAAACCGTACTAAAAAATACCCAGAAGAGGTGGTATTTTTCACTGTCACCAAGAACGTTATCCAAAAACAGCAAGTGTTTTCAGCTCAGTTCAACGTAAAATTGGTCTCTACTAGGACAGCATTTGTCCCCCCCTTATTCTTGCGGGGTGAGAAATGATCCAGTGCTGAACAAAAAGATGAAATGATTATTTCCCACAGCTGAACTGAAAAAAATAATGTTTCACAGTAGAAGCACCAACTCAGCATGAAGTTCTGCTAAGAAGTCAAAGATGGATGACACTAACTTAAGAGCAGAAAAATGGAAAGAGGTAGAACAGTCCCTCTCCAGAATCAATCCAACTGCATATACACTCTACATGTCATATTTGGGGAATTGGGAACACAACTGGGCAAAAGCAGATTAGCACAAAATAAAAACAAGTCAGCCACATGCATCATGGCTGTGGGGCTCGCTGAGGGAAACACTTAGAAAGCACATCTCTGGGCATACCATATTTGTTCAATTTCAATGCAAGATTTATGCTCAGGTTTGGGATTGCTAACTGATTAGACCAACACAGAGTCAATAAAATGATCAATACAAAATAATCAACTGAAGGATGTCAGGGTTACTTGCTGGGGGCGGGTGATACACAGGAGTAACACTCAACACTCCTTCAGATATTATGGAGAAACTATGCCTACTCACTGGCTAGTCCCATCGGGGGTATGGCACAAAAGGGAATTAAGAATCTTTCCTAAACATTCAAGAAAGAAATTTGGTCCGGAAGAGGCCATCCCCCGGGACGTGCCTCGGACGGGCCATCTTTGCCTCCTTGCGAGGAGCGAGGCAGACGGAGCATCCGGGACTAATAGGGGGCGGGGGCGGAGGTTTTCCTGGGATTTGCCTGGGATTCGCCTCCCTTTGAGCCTCGCGGCTCGTGGGTGGTTCTCCCTGGCAATTACCCTAGCCGTGCTTGCCGTAGGGAAGGCAATTAGTTGCCTTGCTTTCGGAGCTGGGTGCTCGCCCTAGATCATTATGGCAAGGGAAGGGTCTTTTGACCCATAGCCTTGCCATGCCACAATTCTGGTTTCCCTTCTGTATTTGCCGTTATGCTTTGTGGTAGTTAATAAAAGTGGCCCGTTAGTACCCAACATTGTTGTCTGTCTCGTTATTCCGGCTTTGGGGGCAAACAGCATGGGTAGGGCCATATATATTCCAAGGTGCAGAAAAAAGTGCAGATTGCAGCATTCTAGTTCTTGAGTGTCTCAAGTTTCATTTTCTTTTAGAAACTCAAGGTTCCAGCCCTTATGGCTACAAAGGTCTGCCTGAAAGTATGTGAGCAACTTTTGCTGAAATCCAATACCAGAGAGGTAGCTGAATACAATTTCTCACTATTGAGAGCAGGGCTTTTGCATCACCCCTTCCCCTTCCCACGACTAGTGGAATCAGGATCAGTTATGAAAACAGTAAATGGGCATAATCATATACACACATTATCTCAATATATTGTTTTCAAATGCGAGACTAGGTCCCCCAGGAATGTCATCAAAAAAGGAGGGGAAGCATCTTAAATTTACATACAAATTACATTTATGTTCAGTAAGAAAAAGCTTTGTGAGTATAACATTTTTAAGAGGGACTTCTTCCCTCCTGATTTATGGTTTTCCTTTTGAGTAAATACAATATCTCTGCAGAACAAAGAATTCACCTTTCATTAGTGCAGAATCTGGATTGCCTGGACACATTTTTTAAACATTTTTGTACAAACCCAAACAAGCGACCACTTCACCAAATAAATTAAGGTGATGGTATCAGGGAACTCCACCCTGACCTGGATAGCCCAAGATAGCCCTATCTCATCAAGTCTTGGAAACTAAGCAGGGTCAGCACTGGTTAATATTTGGCTTTCAAGGGAAGAGACATTCAGAGATGGTTTGTCACTGCCTGGCGTGGTTAAATACTGGGATGGGAGACCACCAAGGAAATTCAGGGTCAGTATGCAAAGGAAGGCAATGGCAAACTACCTCTGAAATCTCTTCCTTTGAAAACCCAATGGGGTTGCCATAAGTTGGTTGTGACTTAACAATAAAAAAAAGAGGGGGGAAAAGAGGGAATTTGATTTTCATTGCACTATTTTGGATTCCCTCTCCTAGCTGGAGAAAATCTCCAGAAAAAATGTCCTGTTTCATTCTGAGCTGTAACACAGGGATGAATGGACAATAAGAGAAAGGAATGCATATCTACCTCGACAGGAGGGCAGAGGGAAGTCCCAGGAGGCAGTGTTTTCCAAACTTGCATGGCAAGTGAGTAGTGCGTGGCCCTCCAGAAAGAAGCCAGGGTTGCAGCTGTAACGTACTTTGTCGCCCACGCTGAACATCGTCCCTTGCTGGATTCCATTCCGGAGCCTTCCTGGGTTTCCACATGTGTGACTTGGTAGAACTGTCAGGAGAGAGAAATCACATTCAAGCACAAACCAAAAGCATCCCATTGACAGTAACTACTTGCCCTCAAAAGCTAGGATTACAGTTAACTATCTCCTCAACCCAGCCCACTTAAGGTTGCCAACTCCATCTTAAAAATACCTGGAGATTTGGGAGCAGAGCCTGGGGAGGATGGAATTCAGGGCGGGAAGGGAACTCAGCTGGGATTGCAATGGAGTCCACAAACTGTCAATTCCTCCAGGGGAGAGGATCTCTGTAGTCTGGACTAGAGATGGGCATGAATTGAATTATGAACCAAAATTCATCCTGAACCGGGCCCAGTTTGTGGTTCACAAACCTCACTTTATGCCATCCCACCCTCATGAGCCTGACAAACCTCCCAGGTGAGTTTGTGTGGTTCATGTCAGCAGACACACTAGCGCTGGCGGTGGGGCTTGAAGAAGACATTTAAAGAGACCACGGTCTCTTTAAATGCCTTCTCCAAGCCATGCTGCTTGCAAAAACTGTTTAAAGGGAGTCAACTGAGAAGGCATTTATAGCAAATCAACTGAGTCAACTGAAAAGAATGCCCTCCCAGTTGGAAGCAATTTCAGCGATGCCTTTTGCTCCCCCCCCCCCAGAAGCGGGAAGAAGAGAAAGGGATCCTTGAAATGGCTTTCAAAAGCCATTTAAAGGGAAGGTTCCCTTCATATTGTTTTTGCAAGGTCTTCCCCCCCTTCCATTCTGCTGGCCTCTGGAAGGAGGGAGGGAAGATCCATGAACTGAACCAGTTTGAGAAGGTTTGTCCCACTTCATAGTACCTCACAAACCATGAACCAGGACGAACCTCCATTTCCCTGGTTCGTGCCCATCCCGAGTCTGGAGATCAGTTGTAATTCCAGGAGATCGCCAGGTCCACCTGGAAGTTGGAAACCCTGAACCCCTCCTCATTCTCCACTGGACCCCAAAGTTGCCGAGAGCCACCATGGGCCCCCAGCCAAAGATTCCACCTGGGCCACTCTATATGACCTTGATATTATAACAAAACAAATCATTTGGCTTGCTGTTACAATGAACACATAGTAATTAAAGAATTCACCTATCTGTCTGTCATTTATTTATTTATTTATATCCCACCTTTCTCCCCAATAAGAACCCATTGCTTGCACTGTTCCCCTCTCCTCCATTTTATCCTCACATCAACCCTGTGATGCAGGATAGGCTTAAAGTGTGTGACTGGCCCAAGGTCACCCAGCAAGTTCCACTGCAGAGTGGGGATTTGAGCCTGGATTTCCCAGATCCTAGTCCAGCCCTTCAACCACTACACCACAGTGGAATGCATAACCCATCAGAGAATAAATCTAGGAGGCTCAAAGTTGGCCACTAGCTTCAGGATAATTGTGGGAGTTCCAGGGCCAAAACCGAAAGGTGAGACAAACTGCCACCACCCTGTGCTGTTTGCAGTGGAAGTGAAGGGTGTTTGTGGAAGGCATAACTCAGAAAATAACGCTACATGTTTGGAAACTAGCCACCAACCAAGAATGGTGATGGAAGTTACAGTGCCAAAAATTAAGGGAATTGGAACACCTTGCACCAGGTTATCTTCATGACAGGCAACATGTAATAAGAGACATTTTAAGCAACCTATCATGCGTTTCTAATACTCAGATCCACAACCCACCATGGAAGGTTGCTGGGGTGACACACTCTCAGCCTGACCTACCTCACAGGGTTGTTGAGAGGATAAAATGGAGGTCAAGAGAACAATACAGCTGTGGGTATATTTGTTATAAATCAAATTTTTAATGATATTAATTATATCATTTGTCATACAACAAAATATCCTTTACAAAGGGCTATTATTAGATCTTCCCCCAACACAATAATAATGATAACAACCCAGTGCCTGAATTGGGAGTTCTAACCTCTGTTCCACATACATAACCACTAAAACAGATTCATGTTCCATTATCATGCAAGTCAAGGGCAAAAGTTGACTACATCATTAGGTCATAAAGAAATATAACCCCCCCCTTCTGTTCATAACATTAGCAATGGCTTGCTACTGTAGTACCATTAAGTACATTCTGTTGCCAAGCAGCATAGCGATGAGAAGAACTTGAGACCAAGGACTGAAAATAAATGGGGTGAGGGACACAGAAAAATAGGTGTAGGGAGAGAGAAATGAATGAAAAAAGTGTGGAAAAGAGGGAAAGGAATTAAGAGTGGGAATGGCTGTTTAAGCTTGGTGCTGCACTCTAAAAGCAGGTTGCTTAACAGGTTGCTTAACTGATGATCTTTGAGTGGTCATCTGTGCATTCACACCTCTGGGATATAGTGTGCCTGCGCCAACCCCGATAGGTATAATGGAAAGCAAAACTGATTTTCATGCCCACTCCCCAGTCACGTGCCGGGCTGCAGTGTGCATGACTAGGGGAGGGGCACGATGATCCCGCCAGTTCCTTCTGACCACTGCCCTCAGTCTCCAAAGAAAGGAAAGGACTGAAAGCAGAGGGGAAGGAGGGCAGGTGGTGTGAATGCACAGATGAACACTTGAAGATCATCAGTTACAGGTAAGCAACCTGTTTATCTTCTTCGTGGTCTCTGTGCATCACACCTCTGGGAGATTAACAAGCAGTACATGCCTACCTGGAGGAGGGTGCTGAAGGTCCTAGATCTGCGCTGCCTGTAACACAGCTTGTCCCACCACAGAACGTTGATGAAGACATACATCTAGGGCATAATGCTTCACGAACGTGTGAGGAGTGGCCCAAGTAGCTGCATTGCAGATATCTTCGAGTGACGCACCTTGCAGGAAGGCTGTGGATGTTGCTACTGCCCGAGTGGAATGCGCCCGGAGCGGGTCCAGGAGTGGCTTCTTTGCCAGAGAGTAGCATAGTTTAATCATCTCTACAATCCATTTGGATAGACACTGGGACGACAGCTTCTTACCCTGAGCAGGTAAAGCACAGGAAATGAACAGGAAATTACTTTCTGAAAGGCCGCGTCCTATTCAGGTAGAAAAGCAAAGCCCTTTTGACGTCCAGTGAATGAAGACGGTGTTCATTCCTCATCGGTCTCAGGGGATGGGAAGAACACCAGGAGGACAATGCCCACTTGCAGATGAAACTGCGAAACCACTTTAGGCAAGAACGAAACATCTGGAGCCAACGTAACCCCGCCATGATGAAAACTCAGGTACGGGGAATCACACTGAAGCGCTGACAGCTCACTCATCTTCCTAGTGGATGTGATGGCTACTAAAAAGGCTGTCTTCCAGGACAAAAGCTGCAAACTACAAGTAGCCATGGGCTCGAAAGGTTTGCCCATAAGTCTTGTGAGCACCAGGGGTAGGTCCCATGCTGGAGTAGGGCCATGTGATGGAGGAAAAAGGTGATTCAAGCTCTTCAGGAACTTTTTGGTCTGTGGGTGAGAGAAGATAGAGTGGTCATCCACCGTTGGATGATTAGCGGAAATGGCAGCTGAGTACACCTTTAACGAGGCACACCTAAGGCCCAAGTCCAAATGGGACAACAAGAAACCAAAGACCGCCGCTAAGTCCGAAAGAGGCGGTGGTAATCTTAATGAATGAAATAAGATAAGAATTTTTTCCACTTCCCAGCATAAGAAGCTCGTGTAGACGGCTTGCGACAGTTCAATAAGATACGGTCTATCCTATCTCTGAGCATTAGAAGAGGATCCTCCATGCAGTGAGCTTGAGGTGCGGCACATCATGATGTAGTACCTGCCCCATCTGAGCAAGGAGAATATCCGGTGCCAGAGAAAAGTGGGTGAAGGAGCCCTTGGATACATGGAACAGAGTGGGGAAGCAGTGTTGTCAGGGCCACCAAGGAGTCACCAGGATACACTGCGGTCTTTCTCTCATTATTTTGATGATTACCTTGGAGAGTAGAGGAATCGAAGGGAAGAGGAACACATGCCTGTGTGACCATGGGAAGAGAAGACCATCCCCCAGGGACAGTGGGTTCACCCCTGCTCTGGAACAGAACAGATGACATTTCTTGTTTTGGCATGTCATGAACACGTCCACGTCTGGGTGACCCCATTTGTGAAATATCAGCTGGAGGTACATCCATTTGAGTTCCCACTCGTGCCACGATGCACCTCCTCTGCTCAGGAAATTCGACTGCACGTTCAGAGCCCCTGGCAGATGGGCAGCTCTTAGAAAGGTGTCCCACGACTGACATTCGTCCCAGATTTCTAGGGCCAGTCGACACAGTCCCCTGGATATCGTGCCTCCCTGCCGGTTGATATAACAAAGGGCTGTGGTGTTGTCAGTGAGAACAGTGATCACCCGATGGGTCACTATGTGGTGGAAAGATCTGAGTGCATATTGGATAGCCAGCAGTTCCAGAAAATTGATGTGGTGGTGGGCTACATGAGGTTCCCATCGAGCCCCTACACAAATGCCCTTGAGATGCACACCCCATCCCCAGAGGGACACATCTGTGGTCAGTGTCGAGGTTGGTGGGTGGAACGGTGCTCTCGCTAGGAGATTCTGCAGACTTTTCCACCAGAGTAGTGAGTCTAATATGTTTGATGGGAAGACGAACTTTTGAGATTGAGGTTGTTGCAGTGGTCGCATCCAGAGCCTGGCAAAGACAATTACTGCGGTGGTGGCCACCATCAGCCCTAACAATCACTGGATTTTCCTTGCAGAGGCATTTCCCTTTCAACGAAAGAGATCTACAACATCGACAATTTCCCTTGCCCTTTGGGGAGGAAGAAATGCTTTGCATACAGTGGAGTCCAGGATCGCTCCTATAAACTGCACTTGTGTGGAGGGAGTAAAATTGATTTTTTGAGATTCACCTTGAGACCCAAGGTTTCTAGGGTGGTCAAGTTCAGGTTGATGTGGCTGAGCAGGGAGGTCTCGGAATCTGCCACTAGCAACCAGTTTTCCCCCATACGGGTGTGCCACTGTAGCTCAGGCGAGGATTTTGATGAGGGTCTGCGAGACCACTGCTTATTCCAAGGTTTCCCTTTGCTATGCTTAGG